CGTACAGGCATTAATAATATGAATGACTTGTTACTTTTAAACGGCTCTAAGTTGTTCGTAGGCGATTTGGATAATTAAATCAACTCTCAGCCTCCAGTTTGAGATTTTGCCTTTTTAATTCTAGAATGTCAAACTACGATGAACAAATTGTTTAAAATGTAGAGACATTAGGTTATTTCGAAGCTGGAGACATGAAAAATGAGCAATGTCCTCGCCGGGACTTGAACCACGTGCCTCTCGAATACGCGCCGAGTGTGCTGACTATTACACCACGAAAGCATGCTAAGAAAACCAGAGAAATACATTATATATATTTCCTCTTTGAAAGGGTTTCGAAGCAGGAGATATTAAAAATGAGCAATGCCTTTGCTGGGACTCAGACCTCGGACCTCTTGATACGCGCCGAGTGGGCTGACCATTACACCACGAAAGGCATGCTAAGTAGGCGGGAGAAATACCTTATAAAGATAGTTTATTTATCAAATCATTTTTACTTTATTATACACCACTTATATTTCAAATTTATGAATTATGAGTTGGAAAAGATCTTTCTGTTCAATTACATTGATTCTGGTATTCAGTTCACTTTTGCACTTCACACTTTTGCCCTTCCTTCCTTGATGCTCTGATCACATTAGCATATTTAACTTTAGTTACTACTCTGTATTGTAAATCTTTCCCAGTTTGCCTTCCACCACCCTTCAAAATCATGCCATTCCATCAAACAAAATCGGTCTTTATTTTATTATTTGTTTTTTCGTGCACTCCCAAGTTTTCTCTTTCGTGTCAGCTTTTGATCAAAAACTTGACTATTTAAGAGTTGTTGCAACTGACACAGATTTGTCACCTCACATTATAGGCAAAGCAGTTAAAAAATTGACATCACAGCATAATAAAAAATATTCTTTTGTTTTCAGCAACTACAAGACTAAGTTAGTCATTTATTCTGCTCTTCTGTTAATTAAAAAATTGCACGTATTTTGTAGAAGTTTAATTTTTGGGCCTGCGTTTTCCTTTCTACCAATAAAATTTGCTTTTTGATACTTAAAATTTAACCTCATTAACGATAATTGCTATTTTGCTTTATGCCATTTTAACTTAGGTTTCATAGGAAATTTCTACTTTCGGGAAATGACTGAGATTTCAAAAGCGAAGACCACTAAGACTGTATTAGCGAGGATTCATTTTAAACCATATCAAAAGCACAAAAAGTTTCATCTAATATATATTTCTTTTTATACTCTCGTAAAGCATAACTGTCAAGTTTATCTGCAGAATAGAAGCTCAAGCCACCAATAAATTGCTTGTTATTTTAAGAAACTGTACGGACATTAGGTATTTTGAAAACAGGAGACATGAAAAATAAGCAATGTCCTCGTCGGGACTCGAACTTGAACCTCTAGAACACGCGCCGCGTGTGCTACCGTTACACCACGAAAGCATGCTGGAAGGAAGGAAAAAATACCTCATGAAATAATCAATTCTTTGAACAATTTATTCAATTTATCTCAGATCCCGTGAGGTTTAGGTGGAATTTTTAATTAGGAGAATTTTACCCATATTTTTACATGTTAGATGAATAAAAAGATATATAACTCTCCACGCGTTTTGACGTAATAAATAGCCTAACCTAACTCACAAAGCTTTCAGAAATAATTATTACATTTGATTACAGATTTGAGCCTGAAGCATTGCCATGTATGAACAGCTAATTAATGCACTCTTTCACAGAAAATCATTTGCTTCAGATGAAAGGAAAATAGATTATCTTGAGGAAAACGTGGAGCTTTCCTAATTAATTACAGCATTTCCAACATGCGGAAACTGTTGAAACTAATCGTTTAGGGATAAAGTGTACGTTAAGTTATTTCGACAGATTCAAGATCAGTTTTATTCTTCAGTCACGAGCCTGCTGATTGATGATTAAATGAATATCTTTCTACCAGTGTCGAAAATGCTTTATTCTCTTTGGTCAGCAACATTTCAGATAGTTGCGTTGAAAAGGTGTACGGTAATCGATGATTTCTCAGCTTCAGTTCGCCAGAACTCAAGAATTACGAATTTTACTTCATCCCTGAACACTTTTAGATCCTTTTGCAGAAAAGAATATAGAAAACTAATGTATGCAAAAAAATACAAATGAAAAGGGAAATGAGATTAATTTATGTGAATCGCATAATTTAATAGATTTGTAACGTGTAAAATCGGAATACCACAAGAATTTTCTAATGAGGCAAACTTATATGTATAAAATGCAAGTTTTTATCACGGTATTTATTTTTTTAAATGGTGATAATTTAATGCTTTACTTCTTTTTTGCTAAATTGTAAGAAATAACAGCAATTATTCCTCGTAAAGTTTCTTTTGGAAAACACATCGATATGGGAATTTTAAAATTCGAAGATCTCGAGTTCGAGTTCAGACAAAAACGATGCGATATCTTCCTGTGACACCTCAGCCCCCCAACGGAAAGAGTCATGGAGGTAGGAAGTAAGATGGAGTCGCCCTAAGCAAGTTTCTCCCGTACTCTGCTGCTCTGAAGCACCGGCGATCCCTACGTGGTGACCAAAACATTGGGTCATTTACCGTTGAGTTCTATGGGATTTGACGCGTTCGGATGTAAATATTTTGTAATTACGTCGTAAATATACATATAAATGTATATATTATATTTTTCTACAACACTTCAGAGTCCTAAGTATGTGAAAACAACATATTTTTAAAACAACATTTCATTCTGAACGGAATTAAATGCCATACTTTTCACAGCACAGTTTTCTCAGAATGGTTTAATTTGAATGAAATATTTTCACAAGTTTTCGTTAATTACATTAGAAAAAAAAATTAAGGTAATTCGATTTTATTCGGTTAAGGTACAAAAATTAAGATCAAAGGTTTATTGTATTATTAATATTAAAATTATGCATATTTCTTTTCTATTTATAGGGCTTCTTCCTAAAATACTTTCTTAATATGACATGATTTTTTTGGCTTAAGGCATCTTTTAAATCGAAAAAATGTGAGTCAATTTATAATAATGCTCTATTCGGTTCATTTTAAATTAGAGAATTATTAGGAATTAGCGAAATACTTTAAATAGTACTTGACTTCTCTGAACATTTCTGAAAGGGAATAAAATAAGGTTTTTTTTTTTTTTTTTTTTTTTAACTAATATTTAAAACTTGTAACTGAGTTATTATAAAATGTAAGGGGAATAATTCTTTTTAATTATACGTATCAGATTTTTTTTTACCCTTCATTTCAACAATACATATTCCAAAATTCTTTATTACGTTCTTAAGTGCGCATCTCATAGCATTTGCTTTACAATACCTTTTAACAGATTGCTTTCCAATACGAACAATTCTTGCTTAAATAATTTTATAACGTATTTGTCAACAGGATTTCAATTTATGTTTACAATTCAATATTAAGGTTATCTATATTTAGATAACATTTATAATCATTATAAAATTAGATACATTTAATAATTAGATTTCTTCACAGTAGTACTTTCACAGTTGTTTATAAGTGAATAAATTCTTCATTTCAAATACATTTATAAATAATTTAATGATATTTTAAGTATTTTGTCAAAGGCAGATACATGCTTTTTGCAAGCACATGCATAAATACCCATACATATTTCCTATTTTTCATTTCCGGCATGTGCAAATCTTTAATTTCTGTGCATTCACTATATTTTTCGTGTAAAGTAATTTACACTAATTTAGCATACACCGAAAGTTTTACATAAAAAATATATATGAATATAATTTGAATGAAAATTATAAGTATTATTTTTAACACCCACTCAACGGTCAGTTTTTTCTTCAAAATTCCTCCACGATGGCATCTCTCTCTTTAGGCAGATAGCCCTTTCATGAGTTACTTAATTTTAAAAGGTACATGTTACAATACATTAAACCACTAAGAATTTTGAAGTTGAGGTGTTCCATCTTTAGGCATAACAGCTGATTAGACTTAGCTCAAAATTTGGAACGAGAGTTTCAGAAAACTGAAGAAATCAAAGACGTCAATTCTTTCAGTACGTAACTTACCGTACTGAAACAAAATGTGCTACATGGTGGTATGAAGTTAACAAAATATCATCAAAATAAAACGACAGATTAATCTTATTAGAGAGGAATAAAAACTTAATTTTATCCATTAATTCTGCACAAAATAATAAAACATATAAAAATTTATTTGAAAGAATTATTAAGCTCGAAGAATAATCTTACAGTCTGAGAAATACCATGACAATTACACTTACAAATTTTATATATCTGCCAAATAAATTCAGGTGAAAACAAACTGCAAAAAATATACAGGTGAAGTGATAACCTTTAGTTTCTTTAGTGAGTTCTTTCACAATCGTCTAATTTCGTTATTTGTAAAGCACATACCACAAATTTATTCGTAAAGAAATGATTCATATCGCAGAGATGTATTAAAACATTGAATAATAAAAAATACATATACGAACGTTAAAAATAATACTGAAATGAAATCTGGCAAAACCGAAAGTTTGCTTATGAACTCGATGCGAACATTTTTCATTCAAATCACAGCTATTCTGTCTCAAGAAACTAAAATCTGACAGAGGAAGAGTTGCCCATTGAACTGATGTGATTTGAAAATGATATGCCAGTTACTAACTTTTATAGTATTATGCCATGACACTGAAATTTAGTTGTGCTATATAGAAAGCTAAAACCACCTACTTATGCCACTTGACAATTTATGGGACAAAAATTATTGTGTAAAAATTACGGATTTTCCTAGTAAGGCTATTTGTTTCAAACTCAGTTTTTCTATAATGGTAGAAGGCTGTTGAATAGATAGATCGACTCAGACTGTTGAATAGTCAGATCGATATGCTAACCGATTTAACAACTGTTGATAAAAAAAGAAATTTTGTCATTATTATTATAAAATTTACTACCAAGGTTATGAAGCTGAAATTGCTGGAGAAAGAGGAAATTTTAATTGCTTACCGAATTTGTGTATGGCTGAGCGCTGAGACGAATACCGTCCCTTATTAATCTTTCTTTCACCAGGTTCTTCAGTTGCATTTTAGGGTATCGTCCGAGCTCAGCTTTGCCCTCCTCGTATTCGTCGATATATCGTCGTCCACAAAGCACTCTCGGCGAAAGGTGCGGTGTACTTTCCTCATCGCTATCTGTCACTATCCTTCTTGATTTTTCACTATCCACGGCAGTCCGTCTGGAAGGTTTTGAACCCTCTTTCTCCAGCCTCCTTGGCAAGGAAGCGATAGATTTTTTCGGTTCACAGTTATGAATGACTCTTTCATCTTCTCTCAAGTACCTGAGAGTGGACCTCTGGAGTACTGGCGACCGCTTACCACCGCTGTCCCCGACGGTATACGTCCACTGATAGGGTCCATCACTACTGTTGACATCTGCACCACATATCCGCGGCATGCAACCGGTAACATTATCCCTTATAGAATCCAGTGACGTTGTCTCTGGAGTGATATGATTCGTGTTGCTGCGATGATGGTGATGGTAACCGGACTTGCTACCACGGACGTTGGACGGCACCGATTGGTGCCTGAAAAAAGCTGGCCGCCTTTGCGATGGAAGAGGTGATGACGAACACGATGCTACAGCAGCGAATGTGGTCGCACCACCACAATTTTCATAATCGTCCGAACTACTTTGGGTGTTATTCTGATAGTTGTGCTGTTCTTCAAGAGTGAAATAAACAGAGGTACCACCTTCTTCAATCAACCTCCTGACCGCCCGCCGGATGATTTCCCGATGGGCACCATTAGTCACTCCTATAGCATCCAAATCCGGCTCTCCGATTTGTTTGCATATTTCAAGATCATCATATCCGTTGTCGATGAAGCTGTCCGCATATTGCCCCAAATGCATGGCACGCAGCCATTCAGACACTATATTAGTGTCCGACATCTTATACCTGTCGTTGGCAGCGGAGTGTAGAAGAAGCGAAAGCACGCGGCCGGTATCGGTCGCCTTTCAGGTGAGTTTCCGGTGGCGCGACCGCAGTGCCTCTGAAACGGCCATCACAGCTGAGCTACTGCGCGATTGCGACTGCTGTTATGTCGATAGTACAGCACTCTGAAAACTGTTCGCCTCGGCGCGTGGGGTTGCTCTCGGAACCGGTTCCTGACGAGAAGATCAGCGGAGGAATCGCCGCCAAGTGTTATCGCCAAATTTATACCGAAGAGATGCTAGAAAAGAAGATGAGTGTGATATTGTGGCAGTAGTATGATCTCGACGGATATTCATTTTTTGTCGGTCAGCTTTGATCCCTTTGTTTTATACGATATACTTAGTTTTAATAGAGTGTAAGGAAATTATTGTATGATTCTCATGCAACTTGTTACGAAATTTGCTATAGTATTGCTCTCCCTTTTTTTTTGAGTGGAATGGCCGTTTTTTTAAAAGTCAATCAATTTAATGAAATTGATTTATTTTTATTTATGTTGGCAACAACGAAGCGTATTATGATTTAATTTTAGTAAATATATATTTCTGGTTTATCCAATTTATGAATTAGTAAACAAAATATTTGGAGGTATATTTAAATAAAGCTCATGAAACTTAAATAAGTGTTTATGTAATTTCAGCGCTTTTGTGTTTACTTAGAGGTATTAAAAATGTGTCTGAAGTTCGGATAGAAGAATTTATTTATCAATAACGTATTAATAAAAAATGCCATCTATTCATTCCCAGTTTTAGCCCACCAGCGGCCGAGCGGTAAAGTCGCTGAACACTGGTAGTTCGGTCCGAGGTTCGAATCCCGCGAACGAGCTGGCTGCAGGGCGTTTTCGTGGTTTGCCGCATGTGTAACGTGTATACGAGCCAGTTTCCCTTAGGAAGTCCTCCACGAAGGCATCCCTCCCCTTAGGCAGATGGCACTCGAGGCTTTGCCATAATCACACACACACACACATTCCCAGTATTAACTCTATTCGGCAAAAAGAAATGAGTGTAAGTGAAATGAAAATTGGAAATGCAAGTATATTCAAGTGAAACCCATAAACAAAATTTTAATTTCTTTAAATCTGTAGATAAATTTCTGATAAAATTTATCTACAGATTTAAAGAAAAGAGTTAGTTATATAGAATGATCTAAATTAAAATAAAATATACGCAAAGGCACTCTTGATACTAAAATATTTTTCTTGTTATTTATATGATACAAAATCAATCAAAAGTAACATAATTTCCGAAATAAAAACTGTTATTGTTTTCATAGTTTTTAAGCTATTTTCTAAATATAATTTTGTGTTTTAAAAATAAAAATAAGAACAAATATTTTTCTTATTCTTATCGTAAACAAGGCATCTCTCCTTTTCTCTCTCTCTTTTATTTATTTATTTTTGGTTTATCTGAAAGCAAGTGTTGCTTAAATTAGGCTTTTAATAAAATACCTCTCGTTCTTTTAGCTATGAATAGCTGCATAGCGAAAATCATGTATTGCGTTCATCATTTGAATAATCACTGCATAAAAATAAGTATTGAAAAGCAAAAACTGAATTACAGACAATTCCCAAGCTTTTCTACCATTTTATTGTGCACTAAATTCGCTGGAACTATTTGAAAGTGTTGAGAAGAAAATCATTTTGGATCCGAAGAACTATACCGTTGGATTTTGAAAAGGAAATGAATCTTAACGTTTATTCATGTCTAAGACAACCGCTTTATAAAACAGGACACCGAGGTGATATCCTCCCCCCTGTAGCAGATGCCACTGATGTAAATTATATTTCACATAAAGTATTTCATAAAATTTAAAATTTTCCATTCTTGGTGTTATCACGAAAGTTCAAAGAAAAAGTAAAAGTTTTATTCAATATCTATGTTTTTAATATTTTTAATTTTATTGCATTAATTACAAACTTACACATTTTAAACAAGAATGTTGTTTTTCCAACCTCTTTCCCTCCCCTCAGGGCAGAAGAAACTGGGGGAGGGGAGGAAGAACCTAAAGAATGTGTACTGATTTTACTACAAAACCGTAATTAATTCATTTATGGAAATTTGACGAAATTATTGCGACTAAATCGTTTATTAATTCAGTAATCAATTTTATGAATAAAATGTAAAATGTGTACATTTCTGAAACCCGGAACCGAAAAAAATACATACATTTTTATGTTATTTTAATTATTATAAAAATTATTTGGAAACTCCTTGAAAGTGGAGACCACGGGCCCGCACTGTGGTTGCACCTGCGGAAATCCGACCCTGATCCATAGTAAACTGTTTTCATAAAAGTACTTTTGTCGTTTTAATACTAAGTAAAGAATAGTTGCATACCGATAGAATACAAATCATGGGATTTTATAAGACTGAGACATTCTAGGGGCTAACTAATGAAGAGCCAATAGAAACGTCGCGGGAGGGGGGGAATGCAGATGTAATAAATGCTAATATAAAAAACTCTGACCAGTTCAATATAAAAACATTAGACTACCTGTGATAACAAATTAATTTTGATTTTAACAACATCATAGTTTTGAATAATGCTGGCCCCGTTGCCCCCAAAAATGGCTTGCACAGAGAAATGTAATACATTTTCTCAAAAATAAATAAAAATAAAATAAAAAAATAAATATTTAAAAAAACTGAAAGGTTTCAGATTTTAAATTACGCCCAAAGGGGCGTTTTTTAACATTTTGTCTGTTACCTTTATTTATTAAATACCATTTTCTTCGCACTTAAACCATAAAATTAAGTTCAAAAGCAATATCGCAAAATAGTTTTAAATTGGGCATACAAATTTCGAATTTCCGATCGCAGTTTCACGCGCTGGAGATAAAAACGTTTCTTCTGTACAACGTTGCTATTGCTCGATTTGAAATCCTTGAGTTTCTTAATCAGGAATTCGTTAAAAGTTTTTCAAAATAAAAAATCGATAACAAAACAAATTCCAGATTTCAAATTTGGGCTTCCACATGCCACTATTCGCAGTAGGATTACGTCATTCAAAATTGGATGGCTCTAGGTACCGTTGTTTTATCACAATGCGAGATATACGCATACATTTATACAGATTTTTCATTGTTTAATTTTTTTCAAATATAATGTAGGACTCTAACATCTGGTGGCAACAGTTTAAAAAGTGAAACGGACATTTATAGTGAACCAACGCAAAATCCCAAAACGAAAACAATAGTCCTTCAGGGACAAAGCCCCTTTGGACTAAAACGTCTATATGATTTTTGTTTGTTTTAATGAAGCCTACACTAATTTGAACAACTTATCATATGCTATTTTTTCAAAATTTCTGGAAAGGCAGTTTTCTTAGTATACAAGGCAATTTCTAGATTATCTGCGTTTTCTGTTTATGAGGGCCTGAATTAGAACTCATAACAGAGAGTTCAATGTATTTCGCTAATTCAGATAAGAATTACAATAAGTTCCACTTAACACAAGAATCACGCTTTATTTTAAATTTATAATTTTTTTATCCATGCTTTTGTTTCATAGTTCGCAATTATTTTGTATCAATCCACAAAAATGAACATAAACAAAATTTTTGATATAACTTTTAATATTTTCGGAACTACTCTTATATGCGAGAAACTCCACCCTGCCATATTATTATCTAAATTTTTTGTCTACATTTCGAACTTTAAGGCTAAAATGTCTCCAAAACGCGGTTTTCGCACATGCAAAAACCACGTTTTGGACACGCAATTTAAGCTAAAAATCCGAAACAAAAACAAAAAATTTACATAGCAAAAACGTAAAGTTTCTAACCAAAAATATTTGACAAGAATCCATGTACATAGCGATATGTTTCAACTTAAAAAAACATCTACTAATTGCACAATCTACCCAGCGAAGGAATCTACGGACTACGCACACCCGCTTTAATAAATTAACATAACAACAATAAATTTCAAAGAATAGCATGTACACAGCATTCTGTTTAAACTTAAAAAAACATCAACGAATTGCACAATCTAGGCATTGCGCACAAATCAACAAAATAAATTAAAATAAATAATTCAAAAAACAACAATAACAATAGAAATTCATAGTAAAAAACAATGAAAATAACATTCTACAAAATAAAAACAATAAAATAAAATGCACTTACCATAATCGATGCTTCTTCGGACAGCAGAACGTAGCTTTAACATGCCGCCACGTACTTTCTATGGTATTTATATGACAGCTAGACTCGCTATCAACAAAATTCATACTATGGTTCACAAATAAATGTTCAAAACCTTCCTTTCCTAAATACTTGTAAGATTTCCAGCCATCAGAAAAAATAGTTGTACCGAGCTCAATCCACTCTTTAATACACTGCGTCAGCGTTTCCTTACTTCTATCATGCACAGCCACTAAAAATGATCTCCCAGACCCTCTTGCAACCAAGTCTTTCATTGCAACATAGGAATTTCAAAACACGTACGACACGAACCAACGAGCAATTAAATCACTCCAGCAAAAGAGTCTTCAACGTCAAAAGGGTTGCCATACAAACACGCAATCGCGCCAAAAACCAGCGCAGAACACATATCGCCACTTTTGGTGATCTTAGGGCGCATATAAGAGTAGAGCCATATTGGTACTATTCGGTTTTGAGGGCCGTAAAAAATCGCCAAACTATTGTTGATGCCAGTGCTGCTAAAAATAATTGCGGCAACCTTAACGCAAGCAAGGAAGTATAATAGTAAATAACTATCTAAGATTGATGTTTTAATTTAGATGAAACGTTATTTTCATATAATACTTTTTTATTATTATAATTTATATAAAAAAGGCTAAACATGGCTGAATAGAAGCATAAGAGTAAATAACTATTTCAGATCATTATTATAATTTATATAAAAATTGCTAAACATAACTGAATGGATGCCTGCATCGCTATTTCGCTACCGAGTTATCGCTAAAGCATAATTTCATCTCGTTGGTTGTTCAAACATAATTTTCTATAATAAATGATGCCTTTTCTATGAAACAATTCTCGGTGCAAAATCGCCCATTTATTTGTTTGCCGCTTTTTACAAGGATGAGAACAATTGAATTTTTGTCAATTTTCTTTTACTTTTTAAGTGAAAATAGGTCGATGTGT